CAGAGAGCAGAAGAGCTTGATATCAGCCAGCTTGCTAGAGCAAAGAGGCCTAGAATTCAATATCAACAGGAGAAATAAAATAAGACACAAAGCTAACCGACAGTGTAGCTGTCGGGATTAGGTGGTATAAGTCCTCAAGAGCAGCAGTGGGTGGAGGTCTCTCCTACGTTGACATCCAGCCAAACAAACCAACAAACTTGCATTAAAGAAGACGGAAGATGCCATCTCGGAGGGATACACTGCCACGCCTCCGCTCCCCGTATTGAAATGCAGGTGGGCAGCCTTGAGGCTTTGGTAAGGCACCTGTAAATTCTTAGATCTGATAGTTCTATGACGCATACTACAGCACTGATGTGTAGTATGTTGATATCTCGACAGGGGTAGGAGCGTTCTTCCGCCAGGAGCAATGTATTGGTCAGAAGCAAAAGAAGCAAATACATAAAACATAGGCTGCTAGGCAGCCAATTATGCATCTATACGTTTTCTATCAAATAATCCCTTGATTGCTGCTCTTGATCCCGTCTATCATTTTCTTTCTCAACGACGTTTGAAGTCGGCTTAAGGTTCGGGTTTGCAAGGATATGTCACGTGATATGCACTTGGGGGAGAAAAAGGGGTGTTGGTTCCCAAGTTGGAGTAAAGAGACGACGACGACGGCAAAGAGCGAATCTTATTATAGAGTCAAAATTGTTTCGGATGTCTAATTCTACTAATGTTTTATCAATATGGTATCAAGAACCGTGGAAATCCATGATGTACATGAAGGGTAATTTGGTTAAGGGGTAGCCTCTGAGAGTTTGATGGTTCGTGGTAGGTAAAGGCATCAAGGAGGCCATTCTGTCGAACAAAGGGCATTGCAATCCTTATTTTGTTCAGCTAGGGCTAGCTTTGATATGTGTAGTAATTAGAGTATGGGTTCTGAGTTGGGGCATAAGGCGAACTATACCCGTGAGGTGCAGCGGATGAATGGGGGCGGCTGGGTTGGTGCTGGGCATGTGGCATCCCTGGTCGTGGGGGAGCTACAGGGTAACTAGGGTCAGGGAGGGAATTCAACGGTTGTGGCGGATTGGGTGCTTGTGCGGTATAGAAATGGTCGGGATGATTTTGCGGATGGGGGTTTTGGGTATAAGGAGGGCCTAAAGGAGGATTCGTAGTCATTGTGCATTGTGTTTGCTCTTGAGAAGCAGCTTTCTTACGCGCGGCGACAAGGTGTCCACGAATTCCTCTTAGATATTTAGTAGCTGCTTCAACAAGGTCGCTTGGTTCCGTACTTTGTCGTAATGAGCCAAGCATCGATGCGACTTGTAGCTCGGATTGAAGGTGTGGACATGTTCGTAAGTGGCCAAGGTGGGCGATTCCGCAGAGGCCACAGTGTTCAACTCCAGCGAGTCTGAGTTGACAGTAACCAACGGGATGAAGATGGTTGCATGCCATGCAAGGATGCTTCTCATTCAGGGTGGACTGTGTTTCCACATCGCCGTCGGGATAGGCAATACTAGCGCGTTTGAAAGGCCGGGCTAACAGGCCGCGTGAATATATGATAAATGAAAACACTTCACCGAATGAATCTTACCAGCGCGTTTCCCAAGCGTCTCTGACCGTTCAGATGTTGCAGTGACATCAGTATCAGACTCAGATGGGCCGTTGAATTCAACGTCGCTATCATTATCTGCGTTGTTATTCCTGTCGTGACCTCGGTAATTGATGGTCTAAAAGTAGGATCTTTAGCATAGAGAGATAGAGTAAATTTGCAGGTTGGAACCATACCTGACGCTTGCGTTTGCCTCTCCCGAATGCTTCTGCTTTGGCCCTCGCTTCCTGTTCTGCTGCCCTTTCTCGCTCCTGAAGGATCTTTTCCCAAACAGTATTACTTGGTGGTGGTGTAGATTCAACATCACCAAGTGCATCCTCCATTGATTCGTTGACCCATACCCTTGCAAAACTAAACTGCGATTCTGCAGAAGTATCATTACCCACCTTGGTGTTTTCCACTTCACTCTGGTCAATCAGCTTATTAACGGATTGCGAATCGTAAACGAGATCACCAGTGTTGTCATTATCGAACAATGCTTCCGCTCCGTGGCGTAGGATAGCTTCCAGATCAAGTTCATCATCATCCTCGGCGTCCATTCGCTCAATAAGTACGTGATCCAGCGCCATTTTCTTCTTTCCAATCTGCATAATTTTCTCTTCAGCAGACCCGCGAGTCATCAGCTGGAAAACCATGACTTTCTTTTTCTGCCCGATTCGGTGAGCTCTGGATAAAGCCTGTATATCTTGGTGTGGGTTGAAGTCGGGATCCAGAATAATCACTGTATCTGCTGTTGCTAGGTTGATGCCAACGCCACCGGCCCTCGTAGAAAGGAGGAATGCAAAGTACTCGGAACCCGGCGCGTTATAAGCATCGATATTCTTCTGTTTCTTCAGCGACGTCATGCTGCCATCAAGACGAAGATGTTCAAGGCCAAGGCCATCCAAGAAGTCCTCAACAATGTCTAAAAAGTCCAAAAACTGGCTGAATATTAGAACTCTGTGCCCCCGCTTCTGGAGCTTGGGTAGTAGAAGCTCTAAAAGCTGGAGCTTGGCTGATGCTTCAACCATGTTCCGGTGTAGTAAGGTTGAATTGACGCCTCTATCTTCAATGGCCTTTGAATAGACGAAGGGGTGGCACAGGCATTTCCGAAGCTGCATCAAAATATTGTTCAGATTGTGGCGTTCACTTTGTTTGACAGTTGAATCTGTGCCAGTATTCTTGAACACAGATTTGATTAGCTGTGAATTTTTGGAAAGAATTGACTTGTATAGCTTTTTCTGCACAATGGTCATGGAAACGGGAAGTATGATTTGCGCCACAGGTGGAAGGAATGAAAGCACCTGGGCTTTGGTTCGTCGAAGAAAGAATGGCCTGATCATATCATGGAGTTTGTTCACGTTCTCGTTGGTCATTTCTTTATATTCCTCCTCTAGAGCAACTGCATTGTGAGAGCGGTCGCAGAACTGAAGGATGTTGAATAATTCACGAATGTTGTTCTGGAGCGGTGTTCCCGTAAGAAGCAATATAAATGGTACCGACATCTTCAAGAGGGTTTCATAAAGCTGGTTCTTGTCATTCTTCAGTCGGTGTCCTTCGTCGACAACGAGCCCTGCCCAAGGGATGGTTGAGAATAACTTTCTAGTCTTGTCCTCGATCATACTTTCATAGGATGTCACGACGATATGGCACCGAAGGTCCTTGGATGAACGGGGGAACATCTCGTACTCTTGAGCAATCTTCCGAGCAGCTGCCGAACCATAGCACGTAACAACTCGGAGACTTGGTGTCCATCTTTTGATCTCCTGTCTCCAATTTGCACAAGTCGAGTTTGGAACAACTACCAGGAAGGGCCAGCAATTGTGGTCTTGGATTAAAGTGGCGAGACGAGATGACTTGAATAGTTTTACCCAGCCCCATCTCATCCGCGAGCACCGAGCTCTGCTGTTTATACCACATGAAATATTATCCAATTTAGCCCTTCAAG